GGAAGGTGAAATTTGAATCCTTAAAAGGCATACACTCTACACACACAGGGTGTTGGAGAGATCAACAGTGTGTTTAGAGACCATACGCTTCAGTACACGCAGTATGTGTTTGAAGTAGTCCAGGAATGGCCCAGGGATCACATCCAGGGTTACGTGATTGCCAGGCACGCTTGGTCACTCTCGGCTCCAAGGGCTCAAAGTCGTGACACTAACCTCCCTAGTCTGCCGGGCTGGCTGACCCTCAACCCGAGGTCCCTCGAGCTAAAATAGCCAGGCTAGTGTGACTTACGAGGGCTGATGCTGGTACAGGGGAGCGTGTCAACTTCACGCGCAGATGGCCACGGGAACAATCGTGCTATGTATGGCACTAGAAAGGGTACCCGGCCGTGCAAGGGGTCGTCCCCTCAAGGCTGCTCCATTTGAGTGTTGCGTGGCCCCCCAGAATGCACTCAATCTGCCGTCAGAACATGCGTGTCGACATGCCTACCCCTATCTAGGGAATTTTTAGATGGTGGACCTTTCCCTAATATATTAATAAATTTATAGAAATTTTATAAAACTTTATTCATTCGACCAGAACATTTTACCTCTAGGACTCCTACCATACTTCAAAGGGAATATGTGACCCGACCTTGATACATATTTCACTGTTCAGTCCCTTTGCAAATATTAGTGAGTGGTGACCCCAGGAGTCCAGCCTCCAACCTTGGAGAGACAAACATATTAACTCTTTTAAAGCACTAGATTAACGTTTTATTTGTGTGCACTGAACGTGATGTTCTTGCTGTGTTGAGACATCAATTCCTCAGCCTCTCCTACCTAACCTCTGGTAAGTTATTGCAGTGTAGTTCATACCTCATATATTTCTGGCCATACTGGCCGTAGGCTGCTTACTCAGCTCATCGAGATCTGCTTACTCAGCTCATCTGCTTACTCAGCTCATCTGCTTACTCAGCTCATCTGCTTACTCAGCTCAATCTCACCTGCTAACAACCCCTCATGCTAAAGTGGTGTTGCCAGACATCACACCCACTTCCAGCTGCCCCTTTCTTTTTTTCTCCACTCCTCCTCTTTCTTTAACCTTGTTGTTTTAGATTCAGCTACTCTGAACGAAATGTTCATGTAGCACGGGCTATGGTGAGCCCGAATCTTTAACCTGTTTCCCTCCTCCACTAATCTTCCTTCTACAGTCCTTCCGTTCCTTCTCTTCCACCTGACCCCACAGATCCCCATTCTCTTCCACCTGTCATCTTCCCCCCCCCCCTAGCTGCTATTCCACAAGTTCACTTTCTCCATTTATCTCCCTCCGCCAATTCTCCTCCTTCATCTGTCACCATCCACCCCTTGTCCTCCACCTCATCTTCCTTCATCTATCTTCCTCCTCCACACACTTCCATGTTGGATCTATCAGTTAACTTTGTAAATGCACACAAGAAAGATAGTGTACACTCTACATTAGTAAATCATTTAACACTGTGCAGCATCACACCACATTACTCAGGTTATTGGTAACTATGTGTGTATCAGTGCTATACCGACGGTTCTGTAGAAGAAGGTTAAAGATGTACCGGATGTGCATGTAATATATTTAAGCAATCTTCTTTCGTACATACAGCAATGAAGCGCGTTAATGATTGGGCAAGTACAACTCAAACCCAACTTGCAGACATATACCTTGCCGCTTAACTTTTAAAAGACAAAGGCTGTGACTTATATACTGTGACTCGCAGAGTGCACTCCTGGCGTTGAACGCACATAGAAGTAACACCCAGAAAATAGTGATATTGGAATGAATGTTTCAGCTGCTAAAGAAAACATTATTTTAAATTAAATTCGTTTTGATACCATCACATGTTGGCACTTCAGAGCATGACACTGTTGGCATGCTTGCGAAGACAACGTTATACAAAACCCAGCATTAGAAATTGATATGGGTGTTTCATGAGCAGTGAAAAAGAGAATACTTAAACATATATCTAATTAAAATCTTTCTGACAACAAATTCATAAAGACGTGAAAACTGTAACATTAAACATTATGATAAATATCGTTAGGAGACATTTATATATGAACCTAATAGAGCACGAACTCGGTAATGTGATGTTATAGTGGTCAGAATACGCCTGGGATATAGAGGTATCAGGCTGCTTTCTCAAAACCCAAATGTCGAGTTCACAATGTGTCCAGAGAATGATGGATGCCTACTACTACTAACTTCTACTAAGGACTTTCTATCTTCTCAATATCATCCCCATTTTAGGTAAACACAAAGTCTAGGTGTTGCTGGTGGGTCCTCTTCCAGGTCTTGCAGGTTCTGTAATGTGCTGTTTCAAGAAGTGCTTAAATGTTGCAGAGAACAGTTTTTCTCTCCATGTCTCATTAGCTCTGTGAGACTTTTTATGTTTCATCACCCCCCCCCCCTCCTTCTGTGAGACATCTTCTCGTGCTTATTCAGTCTACTTCTTCGTGACTTGATTGTAGCTGGATTAGGTTCTGGGAGTTCTTTTACTGCCAGGCCCGGGGTCATGCTTGACTTGTGAGAGCTTGGTCCAACAGGTTGTTGCTTGGAGCGGCGCTCAGGCCCACATATCCACCATAGCCCGTTTGGTTCGGCATTTCTTGCAGAAAAGTGTCAAGTTTTTTCTTGAAAACTTCAACTTTTTATTCCGGAAATATTTCTTATACTTGCTAGGAGGATATTGAACAGCCGTGGACCTCTGATGTTCATGCAGTGTTCTCTGATTGTGCCTCTACTCTTCACTGGCTCTATTTGCATTTCCTTCCATAGAATTCCCTCCAGTATGTTGTTATTTTACTAAGTAAATCTGGGACCTGAGGCACAGTATTTTCCATGTACATATTATTTAATACTTTTCTCGTCTTTTTACTAGAAAGTATATATTACGAGCTTTGAGAGGGGACCCTCTCAATAAATTAGGTGGTATATTGGGTCTATGTGTGTCGTATATGTTCTCTGAATTCCGTTTGAGCAATATCTCATGTTCTGAAGAGGGAAGTGAGTATCGAACAGTACTCAGGTAGGAACAGCACCAGTGATTTGAACAGTATGAACTTTGTGATGGGATCCCTGGATTTGAAGGTTCTCGTAATCCATCCTATCATTTTCCTATCTGACGCTATATTAGCTTGGTTATGCTTCCTAAACGTTAAGTCGTAATACATAATTTTTCCCAGATTCTATAAACGTTATTTATTATTTATTTGTTTATTTATTTACAAGAAGGTATAACGGGTTTGTGAGATTACATAATATAGGTATTTTTGCATTCTTGCAAAGCCACTAGCACGCATCACGTTTCGAGCAGAAATGTTGCTTTCCTACTGTGGGCAGATTTGATTGTTTTTTACACTGTATTTTGTTTAGGGTCTTTAATTTTTACCATTCATAAGTACCTGCAATTTATACCTGTTAAACATCATGTTATTTTCTGCTGACCAGTCGAAAACGTTATTAATATCAGCCTGTAGTTTTATAATGTCTCCTACAGAAGTGACCTTTATGGTGATTGTTGAATCATCTGCAAAAAAAAAGAGACGAAGCGGTGATTTGTATTTTTTTCTTTATCTGATATGAGAATACGGAAAACAAGTGGTGCAAAGACTGTGCCCTGAGGAACAGAGATTTAAACTGTGCTTGGACTCGATTTTAATTATTTGACTGTTTCTCTTCACGTCCTGTTTGACAAAAAATTGAATATCCATAGCACTACTTAATCTGTTGTTCCTATTGACCTCAATTTGTAGGCTGAATTCCCCAAGTAATAGAATCCTAGCTTAGTATGCCTATCCTCATACTTATTAAGCAAGTGAATCCTAGCAACAGTTTTTATATATTTTGTTTGTTATAATCCAGGATTGCATTTTTTATAAACATTCATCTGTAACAGTGATGGTATACTTGAAAATCTTATGGTATCATTGTGTGTGGCTCTTTACATAGTAGAAGTTTGAATAATTGTAGGTGCTATATTTTGGTTACCAACCTCTTGCTTAAACATGTTTCATAATTTGGATTTTTCTGGATGAAATTACTTCAAAATTGTTCTTTTGTTACGAAGAGAACATGCATCTGGTTGTTCCATTTTGTACCTCTTTTTGTCGTGTTGTTCTCGGGAGGTATTGAGAAAGTGCATAAGATGCATCACAATAACGTGGCTGAATGATGTGGCCTGCTCTGTGTGTGTATTTTATAAAAATCCTCAAAATGCACATTTTACTCATAATTTCTCAATAAGATGATCAAACCACACACCAGAAGATGTAGAAACAACGATATTTTGAACCGTCCTGTACCATTATCAAGTCGTATTTGATATACGACTATGCCCCCCATCGCATTTAGATGCCCTATGCACCCAGTGTATCTAGATGCACCTATGCACACAGTGTATCTAGATACACCTATGCACACAGTGTATCTAGATGCCCTATGCACCCAGCGTATCTAGATGCACCTATGCACACAGTGTATCTAGATGCACCTATGCACACAGTGTATCTAGATGCACCTATGCACACAGTGTATCTAGATGCACCTATGCACACAGCGTATCTAGATGCTCCTATGCACACAGTGTATCTAGATGAACCTAGCAGTATCATTATAAATCGGAAATCTTACAATTGCTTTGTGAAATACTTCTTAAAAATTATATTTTAATATATCAAAGAATTAAAGCTGTTCCCAAATATCTCGTTTACAAGTCCTCTTAATAGAAGTAATTTGTTCTGAATTCTTTCTATACAACATGAAATTATGCCATTATTGTTAGATTATTATGGGACTTCTTTTAAAATGGTCGCTATTCTATTGTTAACAATTTGATTGTTAAACATTAACTGAAGTTTTCTGATTCTCATTTGCGAAATCACATTCCATAACGTTTTTGTCAAGGAATTCAAATAAACACAATGTATATTATCCATTTATTGAGGTAAACTTGTAATGGGTCATTCGTCTTGTGTAGTGGTTCAGTTACTTGCCAACTGGAGGGAGGTAGCCATTTGACGGAGGGCTGATGTTGCTACCTGAGTAGCCAGGCTCCTTGTAGCTTCCTCCTTTTGTACCTTTATTGCTGTAACTCCCACCGTCGCTGTAGCTCCCACTACCTCCGCTGTAGTCACTACCTTTACTGCTACTGCCTCCGCTATAACCATCACCGTTGTCACCGCTGTAGCCACCACCACCTCCGTTATAGTCAATACCACTGCCTTTATTGTTACTATAACCACCACCACCTCCGTTGTAGCCACCACCACCATTACCGCTGTAACCACCACTACCACCATTGCTGTAGCCACCACCACCATTACTGCTGTAACCACTACCACCACCATTGCTGTAGCCACCACCACCACCATTGCTGTAACCACCACTACCACCCTTGCTGTAGCCACCACCACCACCACCGCTGTAACCATTACCTCCTGCGAAGAATGCTGGACCACCATCGCTGTACCTAACGCCGCCACTGTAACCTCTGCTCCCAATGGAAATTCCCGAACCACTATTTTTATAACCACCACCGCCGCCGCTGTAACCGTTGCCACCGCCGCCGCTGTAACCGTTGCCACCGCCGCCGCTGTAACCGTTGCCACCGCCGCCGCTGTAACCGTTGCCACCGCCGCCGCTGTAACCGTTACCACCGCCGCTGTAACCGTTGCCACCGCCGCCGCTGTAACCGTTGCCACCGCCGCTGTAGCCCCCATTGCCGCCATTGAAACTACCTCCGACCCTGCTGTAGCTACTACCGCCTCCGTTGTAGTCATCATCGCCTCCGTTGTAGCTGTTACCACCGCCGTTGTAACTGTTACCATCCCCGTTGTAGCCACTACCGCCTCCGTTGTAACCGTTACCGCCTCCGTTGTAGCTATTACCACCCCCGTTGTAGCCACTACCGCCTCCGTTGTAGCTATTACCGCCTCCGTTGTAGCTACTACCACTTCCACTGTAGCCACTACCGCCTCCGTTGTAGCCACTACCACCCCCGTTGTAGCTACTACCGCTTCCACTGTAGCCATCATCACCGCCGTTGTAGCCGTCTCCGCCGTTGAAACCACCGCCATTGTAGCCATCTCCGCCTTTGAAGCCACCGCCATTGTAGCCATCTCCGCCTTTGATGCCACCGCCATTGTAGCCATCTCCGCCTTTGAAGCCACCGCCACTGTAGCCATCTCCGCCTTTGAAGCCACCTCCATTGTAGTCATCTCCGCCTTTTAAGCCACCGCCGTTATAACCTCCGTTACCCACGTCGCCGTAGCCGCTGTCTCCACCGCCGAAGCCATTAAAAGCGTCGCCGATGTTGAAGAAGCTGGTGGGTGACCGCCCTCCCCGGCTGCGCTGCTTGCTTCCCGCTACCGAGTACCTACGGCAGTTCCCGCCCCCGCAGGAGGTGGACGGCCCCGCCAGGAGCACTGTCAACAGGAGGACCACGAACTGGGGGCCGAGGAGAGAAGCATATTTGATAAGGCACGATTGTTATTCTTATGATAGACGTATTGATGAAATGTAATTATATTATGAAATTGATCAGTAATGTGTGTATATGTATATATATATATATATATATATATATATATATATATATATATATATATATATATATATATATATATATATATATATATATATATATATATATATATGTGTGTATATCACGAAAATAAACACGTGATTAAGAATGTGACAATGTCAGACCACGGAGGAAAAATGAAACAGGAAATTTCCTTAAGTACTTTCGTATATTAAATACATCTTCAGAAGGTCCAAACCTTCTGAAGATGTATTTAATATACGAAAGTACTTAAGGAAATTTCCTGTTTCATTTTTCCTCCGTGGTCTGACATTGTCATATATATATATATATATATATTGTGTGTGTGTGTGTATGGAAGACCCCACTCACCATAGCTGAGGTCTCAGAAGGCACTGACACCTGCTCTAAACTCTGCCTCTTTATATCCCTGGAAGCATGACTTCCTGGCCAGGGTCACGCGCCTGGAGCGTGGAGTCCTGCGTGATCCAGGCCCGGGTTCGAGGTGTGACGAAGGGGTCGAGTGGGAGGACAAGTGCTCACCGTGACGGGCTGGAGACCCCCCAACAGGAAGTTGATACACGGTGGATTAACTAAACTATGGGGTCAAGGTCTTGCATGGTGGCCGAAATGATGGGATACGTTTTTGGTACAGTTTTTTACTGGTTAAGATTATTGTTCGTTGTATATTTACGTTCAAGTGATTGGTGCAGTGTGTAACTTGACTTCGGTATTCAGTGTGGGAAGTGTGTTGACACACTCAGTTTGTGAATATTTCACAATAGTGTAATGGAAGGAATTAGAATATATGTACATTGGCTCAAGCCTGATAAATTAAAGAAAATTGTGTATAGTAATATAGGACAAGACGCAATTTGTCAGACTGTGTACGTGTGTGAGTATGTGCTTGTGTCCTCAACTAGTTGTGCTTGTGGAGGCTGAGCTTCGGCTTCTTGATCCCGCTCTCAATCAACTGGTGTACGGATTCCTGAGCCTTTTGGGCTCTATCATATCTACATTAGAGATTGTGTATGGAGTAAGCCTCCACCACATCACTACTTAATGCATTAAATTTGTTAACTACTCTGAAAGTGTGTGTGTGGGAATATGTGCGTGTGTGAGTATGTAGTATGTGTGTATTCACCTATTTGTGCTTGCGGGGGGAGAGCTTTGGCTCTTTGGTCCCGCCTCTCAACTGTCAATCAACTGGTGTACAGATTCCTAAGCCTACTGGGCTTGCGAGGAATGGACCCAATCCCGACCAGCCCATGTTGATCAGTCACCCTGTAAATACCCTTCACTTGTCACCCTGTAAAGTCGGGTGAGGTTAGTGTCTGATCTCCGTCCTGAGATTAACATCCAGGCATAAAGGCATTCCCTTTTAAAGACATAAATATACAAGTTATACAGCCTCTATCCAGCTGTAGTACAGTTGCAAACTAAGAGTTACCCAGCCACGTGTCACTGCTCACGTTGACACAAGACGTGATGTCATCACTAGCAGTGGTATAAATAGAGCCCTGCAACCCAAGGAAGCACATTACATGCAATTCATGCCCGTGCCACTTCTTGGGTGGCTTAATCTTTATCAGTCATCAAGGAAGCACATTTACAGCCCCGCTCCTGTGCCAGGTAAGTCCACGACGTGCTCACACTAGCCCGTGCTACTTGGAACTGTTTGTTCCCAGTAGCTGAATCTACAACAACAGCAACAACCAAAGAAGCCAGTCTCTCTCTCTGGTGCTCTTGGGGTCATCATTGCTTCTTTCACCCACCGTCTGCTACCAGCCTACTTCGGGTGTCGGATGCTGTGGTAGTATTGTGGATGTTTTCAGCTCATCAGCTGAATACAGCTACAGCATCAGCTCAATACAGCTTAATGTATTGTATTAATATTAAGGAATTCTTTATTTGTTTCATTCGATCTATTATTACAGGCAAGAGTTTGCAGGAACCATTTATTATTATTATTAAAGTTTGTGGATCCTCACTGAACACTTTAATATTTTCCTCTCTACCACCCCTATTTTTTTGTTTATATCTATATATATAAAAATGGAAATGTTCGTTTGTGCATAGCCGCTAATCTCCGAAAGTTCTTCACCGACTGCTTTGAAAATTTCACACAACGTTCCATTCGCATCCGAGCAGGTTTTTATATACATACTATATAGATGTCACGTCTGTGACAGGGAAAAAAAAAGCTTTTTCGGAAAAACTGTGTTTTCATGTGTTTTTCATGTGAGGGAAATCTTCGAAACATCTTTATCGATTGCTTTGAAATTTTGACACAACGTTGCATTCGAATAGGCGCGTCTTTTTATATATCTACTATATACATGCCTCACTTGTGACAGGAAAAACTAGTTTTTTTAAAAAACAGCGCCATCTGTTGGACGTAAGATCAACACACGCTGTAATCTCCGAAAGTTCTTCACCGATTGCTTTGAAATTTTGACATAACGTTGCATTCAAATTGGCGCGTCTTTTTATATACCTACTATATAGATGCCACCCCTGTGACAGGCAAAAACATTCGTTTTTGAAAAACAGCGCCATCTGTTGCACATAATAGCAACATGCACGCTATACTTAATGTCACGAATTCCATGTCAATGTTTCCGATTGCATTGATAAATTTTATTTTCATAGATTTCGATTTATTTTATTTTTTTATTGAATTATTTAGTGTGACATTGTGTTGGAATTGAGCTGTGTTGTTTACCATACCGTTCATTTCATATGTACAAGTATAGATGCCACACTTGTGACAGGTAAAACTATGCATTTCTTGAAAACAGCGCCATCTGTTTTTTTTTTTTTTTTTTTTTTTGCAGGGATAATCCTGCGCGGGCCCTAAGCCTCTGGCTGGCCCACTAAGTGTTGCTTGTTTCTGTTTTACTTGGGCGGAGGATGAGTATTTATGACTCGTATGGTCGCTTCAGTAAGATTTTTGCCATATGTGTTTAACAACTTCCTCTGCTCTGTTGAATCTAAGTTGAAATCTTAACGGTTTGTAACTGTGCACTGTGTTAGATAATGTTCCAGTGTCTGTCGGGCATTTCTCCACAGTGTTGACATTTCCTCTCATCTTCCGGAACCTGTAAGCCTATTTCCCATGCACATGGGTATCCAAGCCTGATGCGATGTAAGTGCACTTCTGTTGTTCTACAGCCCCCTTTCATCAAATTAAGTGGTTCGTAGTTGGTTGAATTCTTGAACCAACCCGCAGATCCTTAAGTTGCAACTGCTGTGGTGTGGTCACTGTACATCTTTTGCATTGCTCTGTTTCGAATTACTTTCCTCATCTGGGATAGACTCTGTGGTATGTAAATGTCTACATTTCTCCTCGTAGTAGCAAGTTTCGCAGCTTCGTCTGCAATGTCATTTCCTATTAGTCCCACATGACTTGGCACCCAGTTGATAAGTACCCGTCGGCCTTGTCGTTTGAGTGCGTGCATGAATGATAAGACATTTGTGATCAGATGGATGTTATCACATATGTGTTCTTGTTGCAAGGTTTCAATGGCGGTTCTCGAATCTGTATGGATGATAACATGTTGTCGGTGTTCAGCAAGAGCATGTTCCAAAGCCTTTTGAATGGCTAGCATCTCTGTTTGTAAAGTCGAACACCCATTTGAGAGCCTCCAACTATTCACAGAGTTTCCTGCTTTAACCGCAGCTCCGGTTGCGTGTCCCTGCTGGTCTACTGATCCATCTGTGAAGTAAGTGAAGCTGTCGGATGCCATGTTTGCTTCTATATGCATCTGTGCAATGTTACGTAGCAGATGAGGATTTGTCCAGTTCTTCTTTCCTTCAAGAGCCATAATCTTAAAGTCTGCCGGCAGAGATTCCCAAGGGGCTTGTATAACAAAGTCTGCATGTATTTCGTCGACACCCCTCTCAGTGACTGTGTTTGTTATATCGAACGTATCGATGGTGTTGATCGCACAATGGGTCCACCTGTTGCCATTGGAGGCTCTTCTGTCCAGAGTTAGCGCTCCAGTGATTATATCTTTAAGTGAACTGATTCTAGGTCTAGTCAATATCTTGGTCAGCATGCACGCAGCAATCCCTTTTACCCATATTTCAATCGACAGAAGCTTTGTTTCTAGTCGTAGGCTCAGTATTTTAGTCCATCTGGGAGCTCCTGTTATGATTCGCAATGCATCATTTTGAAGAACCTCAACGTTTGCCCACTGACCAGGAGAAAGAGTGAGTAAGGCAGGCGCTGCATAATCAACCAGGGAACGAACGGCGTGTATGTAAAACATTCTCAACACTCTGTGTCCCGCTCCTAGACGGGGCCCTGTGATTGCTCTCATTATATTTATTCGTGATTTTGCTTTCTCCTTTAGATATTGAATTTGCTTATTGAATATCATTTTAAAATCAATCCACACACCGAGATATCGATAATGTGTAACCCACTGAAGGTCAATGTCTTGAATGCGTAGGTGCCTGTCTGGAGTGTTGCCACCTATTCTCATCACCTTAGACTTCTGTGCAGATATTTTTAGCCCTAAACACTGCATTCAGATGTTACTTTATCTAAAGCACCTTGAGCTTTATTTAGAAGTGAAGGACCTGTAATGACTAATGCTATATCATCAGCATAGCTTAGCAATTTAACCCCTTCTGTAAAGGTCATGGTAACAAGGTTTTCCATAACGATGTTAAAAAGACTAGGACTGAGGACTCCTCCTTGTGGAGTCCCATTCTCGTGCAAGTGGTAGTCCGACACTTGTCCTTGCAACTTTACCCTGGCATACCTGTGACTTAGGTAATCTTGAATCCATGCTAGCATTTTTCCCTTTACACCTTTTTTAACTAAGGTGTGTAATATTGCTTGCGGGCTTGCAAGTTCAAATGCTTTTTCTAGATCAAGGAAGATCACTATAGC